CCAGGGCTAACGTTAGCCCGTCTGCAGCAGCCAGGGCTAACGTTAGCCCGTCTGCAGCAGCCCTCTCTCTGCATGGCAGTAGGTGAAATACCACTGGCTCTGATGGAGGTTTGATTGGTTTATTTGGCAAAATGTTAATTTGATTTGTGTTTTTCTGACTGTGTTCATTATTATTTCCTAACTAAATAAAAAAAAGTCATAAATTATTATTTTCTAGAGACTATTAATAACGGGAGGAGAAATGCAGCTCCAGACTAGCTTTGAATGTGGTGATGTCATCCCTACGCTTCTGTTCCAGTTGACCCAGATTTATTCTGCGTGCTCCGGTTCTCCCAGAGTCCAGACTTTCCTGGGTTCTTGGCGAGAACGGACTTGTTGAGAACATACTGGCGTTCTTGTGAACTGAGAAACGGCCAATGTGACGTTCATCACCTGTGGTGCAGGTGATCAGTAAATTCAGGACATGAGGTTAGAGCTCTGATTAAAAAGAATGCAGATATGCAACATCCTGTGAGAGAAGAAAATGATGCATCAATGAAAGTAGAGAGTGTGTGGTGGGGGGTGGGGGGTAGTGGTGGGTTGGCATTAGTAGCATTCCTTTTTTTTTTACTGGGAGAAATAAACCAGAAAACTTTGGCTCTAGTAAAACCAGTAAACCTTCTCATTTTTCCTGGCTGGAACCTGCCGTTCAACCACATGAAGGTCCAGAGATCAGACGCAGGTTTGGTTCTGAATGGGGTTGTATCTTAATAATAATCTAAACAGCTGGGGCTGGGGGGTGGTGGGGGTAGCCTTTAATTGGGTCAATCTGACATGAGAAGGGGGCCGATTCTAACAACCATCCAAAGCACACAGCAGGAAGAGGAGCAGGAGGAAGAGCGGTACCTGGTTTTGGCACAGAGTTGGTCATGGACTGCGGCACTTTATCATTGATGAGCTCCACACATTCGCTGGGAAAGAAACCCACCTGAAGGGAGGAGAGCAGAGGGAGAGCTGTGGTGACAGGAGGACTGGGCTGCAGCGTTCACACTCAAACCTTTCTATACTTCATTCCTTTACTGAACTCAGTAGCTGCTTTAACCATCACTATGGTGACAACAGATTTCTTATAATGCTTTAGATCCTGTAGAGTACAGGTGGAGCAGCTGTCCTCAGCCAGTCTGATGCTCTAGAAATCAGGTCACGTTTCAGTCAAATAAATTTATGTTTCTTTTTATCTAAGATAATAGATGCATAAGGATAAAAACATAAATCAACTGGTGACCAAATGCAGAGGAGCTTCGGTTTGATCAGCCCTGATCACTCAGCCCCAGACTGATCGAGAGAAAGAGGAAGATGATCGCGACGACTGGAGAAGATTCACAGCTAGCCATCCTTTCATTGCACGCTGTGAGAGAGCAGAAGTGGACGCAGGAAAACAGGAAGGCTGAAACAGGCTGGAAACAAACTGGCTGCCTTTTGGACAAAAGGTATACACTGGTCAGACTGGGATCAGCAGGTCAGACTGGGACCAGCAGGTCAGACTTGGATCAGCAGGTCAGGCTGGGATCAGCAGGTCAGACTGGGACCAGCAGGTCAGACTGGGATCAGCAGGTCAGACTGGGATCAGCAGGTCAGACTGGGATACAGTCCAGAGCCCTTTAATAAAGACAGAGCCCAACAGGCCTTTAGCAGGTGCTGCTGGATCCTCATTCTGATGCAATGGAGCTCAGACAGAAGCTGACAGCATTTGTTCTGGTTCCCTTTAGGACTTGAACCATGATTCCAGCTCCTCACCATCAGAGATTCCTTAAATACTGTTTAACTTTTCTGACACTGTGATCCACCCGGCTCTGCACCACACAGCCTCACTCCTGAGGGCTCCTCAGCTATAGAGGCAGGTGAGAAACAGTTGAGATGACAGAAAGTGTCTGAAGTCTCTAACAGACCGAGCGGCGGCTGTTCAGTTGTATAAAAGCCCCTCTGAAACACCCGCTGCAGCCTCAGACCT